GAGATTTATGAAGGGAGTGTTCCATTCTAGACCAGCACTACCAATATATCAAGTGACCTGGGACACTTCCATTGTTTTAGAGTATTTAAAGACATATCACGCCATAGAAGACTTAACCCTACAACAGCTTACTCATAAGTTGGTAATGCTCTGTGCATTAGTCACAAGGCAGCGTGCCCAATCACTATATCTCATGAACCTCTTAACTGTAATGAAGGAAGAGGACTCATACACCTTCTATATCGACCAACTTGTCAAACAGTCTGGACCAACACGCATTCAACTTACTTTAGTGATACCAAACTCCTTGCCGATCACCGACTATGTGTTGTCTGAGTCATGGAAGAATATATTAAACGCACTGTTCCCATCGGGGTCAGGAAAATCAACTATTTCTTAGCACAATTCGATGCTTTCATAAAGTATCAAAGTCATCTATATCTCGTTTGATAAAGGTTGTCATGCAAGCTGCAGGAATTGATATAGAAACGTTCAAACCACATAGTACACGAGCCGCAGCCACCAGGAAAGCGAAGCAATGTGATTTTTCGATAAACTCTATACTGAAAGCTGCAAGTTGGAAGACTGATTGCGTTTTTCATCGGTTTTACAATAAGAACGTTGTGTCTCAACGTAGCGATGCGGAGTTTGGGAATGCCATTCTTTCAGCGTCCTAATAAGAAAGATATTGGATGAGAATTCTCTTTAGTTGAACTTGCTAGGGAGTTCAGAACACATATACTTGCATGTATAGTGCAAAAGAAAAATACTTTGAATTCATATTTGTTACTATTTCTAGGAGTGTTTGATACATCTCCAAATATGTTTATTACTTAATGTCGTATTTGCGTGTAGGCATGAAGTGTGTCCACATGACTTTCAAATCTCGTGGGATCTCTGCGGTAGATGCTAATAGTATTAAGAAATTGAACGAGACTTACCTGAAGTTTAAATTCGATTGGGATTCTATTAGCATCTACAGAGCAGAGATTACACGCCCACCCATCATGTTACTGCCTCCCTGCATATCTTTTATATGCACAGATAGGTTCATGTGGCCACTATCTTTGAAATGTGACCAATGTGCGCATGCGTAGCACCTCGTGTATTCTCATAACCAGGACAAGCAGACAATTTCAAGTAATACAAAATAAAAAAAATTCCAAAGAGGGTATCTCGTTTTCTTGATATTCAAGATAGTACAAGAGTATTCTCTGCTCTGTAGATGCTAATAGATCCCAATCGAACTTCAACTTCAGGTAAGTCTCGTTCAATTTCCTAATTTTCTAAAGAATGATAGAAACTACAATCAGATGGAATTTAGGGAAATCTTTTACAAATTCATGTATTGACATGATTGCTGCTATCCAGACTGTGAATTTTTTCAAAAGGGTGAAAAATTTATGGATGAACTGTAAATGCTTGGCAAAGACGTTCTCGCGAGTGACATTTCAGTTATTGATGTTCAAAAGCAAGCCAACATTGTTTTGAGCTTTATCAGCAGAAATTTACATCCAAAATCGTAAGTAAAGGACAACTGAAGTGTATGCATGAATGTAAAATATCAAAGTCCATTTATGGGAGTATGTGATGCGATTTATGTCAATATGGCGTATGGTAAGCAGATTGATGTTTCTAAAATTGTTGTTGCCGTAGGAATTTTAACTATGATTTCTTTAGTGCTTGGGGAATCATGGCCGTTATATGACAGCGAAATCCTACATTCCTGCAAATATATTTCAATGGACAAACAATCTGTAGCCATAAGGCGCCATACTATTATTTACGTTATCATAAACAAATGTTTGGGACTTTTCAGTTTATGATCGTTGAACATTCGATCATTGGACAGTTATACTACATATTGTTTAAGATTTGATAAAACTAACATTGATTAAATGAGAAGCTGTTTACTATAACCTGTGATTTTGAGTCTCCAGACCAATTCCTGACAAATTGACTGGAATGGTATTAAACCTGAGTATATCACATACATGAAATGTTGTCCCATGTTACATATTGTCCCTTTTTAACTGAGCACCTCATGTAGAGATGTCAAGGTGTTCTGATCTACGGCTCGGTACACTACTGCCTAAAGTATTGTCAGCTACGTACATATACTTGCGCAAAAGCTTTTCTGATACTGAGAATTTTACACAAGTTCTAACAACGAAACATGCGCTGAAATGTACCACAGAGATTAGCATCGTCATCAGGTCTTGAAATTTCACGATAGGTTAGTTTCTAAATGTCGTCTTTGATGCACCCTGTAGATAGCCCGTTCATATAAACGTGCCTGCTATAGTGTATATTTCGTCTACTAGATTTCGGTCGGCCTTCGCCGACGTGCAGTTGTACTACTTAGCGACATACGTACAATTGTACCATCGTTAGTATGTTAAACCTTCAAAATGTGTTTGGCATGACGATTTATTTATGTAACAATGGTTTGAAAATAACATATCAGCTTAAATAGTTGCATTTCGTTTATTATATGTAGCAATAACTCCAAATTTATCTGTGTAAAATACAAAGTACTTTCAATTAGAACTATCCATCTTGTTGTTATTCTAATTAAATAAGCCCGATCTATATATAAGTTATAACTTACCTTTTTTCTTATATAAAGTTTCTCTTTATTGGCGCATGAAATCGAGTTGATATTCGTCCATGGAATAAAATTAAATTGAAACCTCAGTTTTTAACGCAAGTGCGGGAACCAATGGCGCGATTGATTGGTTGAAATAAAAAAGTATTTTTAGTGTTACTTATGTTTCACTTTCTCCCGAGTCCCCCAGACAGACATATTCCGCGCGTACAATCATTGTACAATCGAATTTGCCCGTTTGTTTATAAGTGTTTGGAAAAAGATATGCATGCGAGCAAAAATAGAATAAAAACTGTATGTAAGTGACCACTAAAGATGCAATTTCAAATAAAAAGGAGAACCGTAAATACATTGCGATAAATGTTTACAACACAGTATGAAATATACAGAGGTGAGTTAAATATATTGATGATTTAGTATAGTGGATTTTGAACTAAACCGTATTTTTCAATTTTTTATGAATTGTGATGTATAGTGAAATGTCCGAAAGGCAGCACATTTTTTTGTTCATTTTATTTTATATTTTTAAATGTCATTTCCGCATTCGTTCTAGCCCGGTTTCCATATAATTGTCTCGATCTTCAATCGTCTGAAAGCGTGCAAGGGCGATTAGAGCGATTTTATGGAAACATATTCAAGACTATCGAAACGAACGAGGCCATCAAAGCGATTACAATTGTTAAGATGGAACTCTGTTCTATCTAGACGATTAAAACGACTGCGTGCAATATCGTCCCTGCACGCTTTCAGACGACAGACGATCGAGACGATTATATGGAAACCGGGTTTTATGTGTTAAATTAGACTACACACCAATGACCCAAGAATGTAACAGAAACAAAATATTTAAACAATAGCATCAACCTCTGTTTGGTTTAATACTATGATGTTTTTCAAAGTCATACTTTAAGACTTAACATAAAGTAAGATACTTTTTTACTATTCCCAAGATATTGACTTATAATTATATATTGACTACATATAATTACTATATAATTATATATATATTGACTTGTAATTATAACTAATCTTGCATTCTGAGTTACCGATTGGAACATGGCATTATTTGCATCTTCACAAAACACTGTTACAATTTTACCTTATCATGTGCATTAAGCAAATTATATATTTCAAGTCAATACATGGAATCATAGTGCACTTTTTTATCTTTTTAATAGCATAGTAGGGTTATCAAAATGTCATAAAAGTTTAAGTTTGTTTTTGAAGCTAAATTAGTGAATGTTTCAATCTAGATGGCTTTCTATCAATGTTATCAACTATAGATTGCCTTGATTTTTGTGAGAGAAATTTAAGCAAAGGGGTTCCTTCCCTCAAATACCAATTTGAACCCTTTACTATGCCTAACTTGCATATTAATATACGTAAATGATGCATTTGAATTACAGAGTTTTGTTTTACTATGCTTGGAGTATTACAGGAATTTGTTACTTTGTTTTATATCTTCCTAATCTCTCTACATTTCTTTAGATAGCTTCAACCAACTTCTCCAAGAAGCTAGACATTACCTTTGTTTGAAAAATCGTTTGTGGCTATAGTTGAAACTTGTATTAAAGATGAAGCTAGTAGTGTGGTGAATCAACATGAGAATCTCCATTCGACAAATATAATTACCCAAAGTTGCTGCATCCTTGAGGAAACTATGGAAGCAAGGTTTGCCTATAAACAGTGCATTTTTTGGTGTCATTGATAAAGGGGTGTTTTTTATTTCACATCAACTGCATCACAACTTTGACAATTTGACTATCTTCTGTTTTGATAGGTGAAATTATAACCTGCCTTATTTTTACAACAATATTCTACCAATTCACACTTTTCCACAATTATGGAACACTTAATTTATACATTGCAGATTTTTTGCCTTAATTAAGTTATACAATGGAACTTTATGTCCATAATAGCATTTTCAAAGAAAAGACCATGACTAATGTCTGTCAAAGGAAAAAATATGAATCAAACAGAGCTAGTTGTAGTTAATAGGGAGGAAAGGGTTATTTTAAATATATGAACATGTCTGTTGTGGGTTTTCAACTCTTTGCTACCTACTGTAGGAATCAAAAGGCACAAAAAAGTCAACCTTTTTTTTATTAGTTTATTGTCATTATTTATATTGTATAATCCTTAATCACTATGGATTTCAAAAGAAACTAAATAACTAATATAGTAAAACATGTATACGATATATAAATATTAGTGTCCCCCCCCCAATCTTCAATCAATAACCGCTACGCAATAAAATGTCCTCCCCAAAAACATGTTTTCAGTCACGTTTTTTTTCTTACATAATCATCTTCTTAAAATTTTTTTCAAATTGATCCTACCATTGTTGGGACACGTTTTTAAAACATAAAACAACTATTACACTAAACCAAGCATCAACGCAAAGTAATGACAAAAATTCTATTCAATACTATTCTAAAACGATTCTATACTTACCATAAGAAAAATCTTCTCGAGATACCCACCCCCCCTTCCCCTATAATAGCGTCGAAATCATTTAACGCCTCACTGAATCCCGGTTAGCCATGCTCATATAAACAGCCCCTTAAGTGACTAATTTGCCGTTGTTAACATTTCTTTAATTGACGTCATGTCTAAAATTTTTTATTGTGATTGGCTCTTCAGGAGCATGTCATCTTCCACAAAGACTTGCGTTCAAATCACCTTCAATGCGTTTAAATAAAAAAAGTCATTAGAATTTTCAGATATTTTTACGTTTTAATGTCGTTATGCAAAGTAACGATGCATGATGTAGGTTTAGATTCATGAGACGATATTATATTAAATTTGGAACTGTACTTTAATTTTGTCCAAATATTTATTGAATCTTGAAGTCGCATCTTGCTAAATTAAGGTTAGGAGAGGGTTTAAGGATGTTTTGGTTGACTTCACCAACATCTTAATGCCCAAAACGATGATATTTGTGTTGTTTAATAGCCTGAACAACTTTAATTAATCAAGGATTTGCGTAATATCACAGAAAAATGGTCAAGTATCGTTTACATTTTACGTATATTAATGAAGGGAGAACATATTTCTTTTGTTTGGCAACAATATGTTTGTTTTTAAAAATTAGATTTGATAGATACCTGGTAATTTGTTCAAGTACGAACTTTGATTGTTTAACAATCATGTGGAACAAATACATATAATGACATGCTTAACACCATGCATAAAAATACTATTCACTTCAAGTGTTGCCACAAGTAAATCACCTGGCATCGTGGAAAGCAGATGTTGCTCACATGAGATGGAACAAGACTATACACATAGACGACAAGTATAAAGATTTGCGATTGTGCAAAGCAAAATAAAGGTGTTGCCTTCAAACCCTTTTGAAATGTTTACCCACGTACTTGCTTCGGTATCATGTATAAAAATAAATCCCACGGCTGGAAACTAAATGTAAGTGACTACGCTGACGATAAATGATTATTTGCTTCTTGATTTATCTCTATTTTGCTCTTCTGAAAATTTCAATGTTTTTTTATTGATGCTATTGACTTTTGGTTTATTTCTTCAATGTCACATTAGTCATTATTGAATAGATGCAATGATAAATACACTAAATTTGTCGTCTGTCTCCAACGCACTATGTGGTTAAGCGCTAGAGGTGCAGTTTTTTCAGATTGTTGTGAAGAATTGCAATGAACGAGATCCATAATTGTCTTTTTCTTGAATTTCTTACAATATTTTTAGTAGTCGAGAAAACTCAGGGCAAACAGAACGCATTTAAGCCCTCTCCTAACCTTAACCTAGCAAGATATGACTACAAGATGCAATAAATATTTGGACAAAATTAAAGTCTAGTTTCTACATTAATTATCGTCACTTGAATCACAACCTACAACATCATATCCCGTTACTTTGCATAACGACATATAAACGCAAAAAAATCTGAAAACTTTGACGAATTATTTTTATTTAAAAGCACCGAAGCCTTCACTGAAGGATTACTTATTGTCTTTTTGAATGGGTGACATGCTCCTAAGGAGACAATCACAAAAAATTTCAGTCATGAATTCAATTAAAGAAATGTTAACAACGATTTATTCACTTTAATGTTAGAAAATAAGGTAAATTCTCTCCTTTTTACTGACTAAGTAGTGAAGTATGAGTTACATGGAATAACAACTAGTCTTATTTGTTGGCTTTGTAATATGAAAGCTTTCACTTTAAAATGCTTCGACCACGATGTTAAGCATTTGATCGTTTGAAAGTTCTTGTTGCATCGTTCAATTTTCAAACTCAACTGACTAATGCTATTCATGAAATGTAGGTAAATGTTTTACCATTTGGATAATCAAGCAGAAAACATATTGTAACTTGCTCATCCTCTATATATCTGATTCATATTTTCTTATATCGTAGATCCCACATGTATGGAGTTGTGAAAGTCCCTTTACCACCTGTGTCATTCACTACAGTTACTCTTACTAGTTTGTCATTACTCATGTGTCATGGTGATTCATGGCCAAGAATGTTCATTTGTAGTTTGGATTCTTTGTTGATGTCAGGTGTTTGTTATTGTAATGATGATGGGCCCCATTGTTATATGAGCCCACCTAAAGGTGGTCAAATGATATTCACAGAAGATTAACTCTGCACTAAGCATTCTTTGAGTGATGATATAACTGGGGTATTGAAATGATCCCTTTTCCTTTGCTTGAAGTTACCAATTGTAAATTATGGAAATAGCGATTCATGATCTCAGTAGCTACTTTATTTGTTAATGATGCTGGTAACTTCGTGTATGGAATGGTACAAACGTTTTGAATGGACATTGTATAACGGCATATGTACGTATGAACATTAACATTGGAGTGATTGGACTAAAAACGTACTGTATTCTACGAAAATGGAAAACAAGCGAGAGGAAAAACACAATCCATGTCTTGAGGTTTGTAGCTTGAGTGGATGAGTGTTAAAATTAACTTCTATAAGTAGTAACTGCATGAGATAGTCGAAAAGGATACTGATTCTTTTATGTAGAGGGTTTTACCAGATCCACCGGTTTTCCCTCACATTTCGTTTTGTTTTGGAAAAACAGTGTCCTCATTTGGGGCCAAGCGAATATTTTATCAGAACACTATTTATTGTAGCTATCATGAACATTCACGTTTCTTTTCTTCATTTCATGGCCTTTGGGTATACCTCCCAAAACACTGCGTTTATTAAATACATGACATACATTTTAAGAAAATAGGTACGCAATGCGTACATGTTAGCCTGCAAGTATATAGCTACTGAATGAAGTAGATTTAATCAACATAGATAAAACAAAATTATATATTTAATATTATTCCTGTCAAACTTTTCAAGATTTGAAAATGCTTTTAGTTATATGACCAGGTAATTTCCTAACCCTGGAATCCGTTACTATACTACCAAGTATTTGCAGCTGCTGGAATCCGATACTACAATCGTTGAAGATCGAAGGTGAATAATTTTAGAATATCTCAAATCTTTTCTTGTTTTACGAAAAAATAGCCTACACCGAAGAAAGCCATTAAAATGCTTGATGCATTTCCACAAAAATGACAACAAACACCGGTTACACCACTTAACCTAATTCATTAAATCTCTTGGAAGCAACGTCATTGCATTTCTTTAGATCGCTATTGGAGCCAGTGTCCTTCTGCCAGAAATAAAGTGGAAGATCACATTCACTGACTTAAATGGTTCAGCCCGTCGGCCTGTTGTGCATACTTTTGGTCCTTAACTTGAAGTTCCAAGCACCTATCAGTGCTAAATGAAGTAGCGGAAGATTCTTTATCCATTCTTCGCGAGAAAAGTTCATGGACGTTCGATATTGTCTAGTGAGGACGTTAAAGTCATATCTACACATCTAAGTTCCCGTTTGCACTATACCGGATTGCTATCGTAGCAGGTTGAATATTCTTTATATTAAAAGGCAGGGAAATTGTTCAATGTCAGAAACACAATCAAATGGACTAAATCTATCAGCTTAATAGGCTTTTACTCCGAGCAGTTACCCTTAAAAGCAAATGAAGATGTCGTGATCAGCGAATACGGTATAGTGTAAACGCAGCCTAAATATTATATGACATTCCGATATTGTATTTGCTGTTTGTGGTGAAAACCATAATATACTGTTGAAACAATTATTTCACCAACTGATTGAATTATTATTTGTATTTTGTAGAAACTATAAATATCTGCTTTAGTTAGCTTTCAGTCTGGGTTTTTTTGCAACAACCATGTAGGATTTTGTCATCACTTCCTTAACAGTATTGTAACGTATAAAAGTGCTTGTAGTTTTGTTTTAATAATTTCTACTAATGTAATATTGTATTGCTTCTTCGATCTTGTGAATGTAAGCTCGGAGTATTAAGTAGCTAGCAATTAACATGTAAACAATTTGTGTTTGTGTATTTTTGTTTGTGTTCGTGTACTTTTGTTTGTGTTCGTGTACTTCTGTTTGTGCTCATGTATTGTGCTTATGGTCATCCTTATCGCGGTAGCTTGATTGCAATTTTTCTTAACCGCACGACTAACATCTGTATCAAACGCATGTAGAGATATAAGTAAAGGAATATTTTGGAATATTATAGGAAGCTAATGAAATTTGCATAATTTTACTTGATTAACTTGTGAACATGTCCTATTTCTTATTGCGAGATCATCTTTATATCTATCATAAATGAAATTTCGCTCTATAAATTGTCTAAGAATTTTCGATGAATTAATACGTCATTTTCAATGAATAAGAACGTTTCAATATAGTGAGTCTCAAGTTGTGATTCTTTTTTCATGCAGAGAACTACCTATGATATATAGTGAAGGTCCTTTATCACTGGTGATGCAAAACGTAAAATGATTTGACAAAAACGTGGAATCAAGCGATCACAAAACCATATAATTTGATCATGAAAACGCAGGAAATAGCGTTTTCGACCCCTATTTTCAATTTTTCAATTTTTCCAGGGAGATCGTGTCCGGCGTGAGATTGTGTCTCAAGCCTGCATCTGCCCCAACGAAGCCCATAAAACAATGGAAGTCTATAGTTTTTTCGTGTCTTGCTGGGTGAATATTTTATTGACAAAAGGAACAGGCAATAGTTAAACTGTCATTTTTTCCAGGAGAAGTTGACATTATAATTTAGTTTGTGATTTTATATGAAGTAAAAGAGCATCAAATATATGAACACATAATACTGCCTTTTATCTATTTAATATTATATTCATATTATTTTGAAACATATCGTAATTAATTCATTTTGTTACATTCGGACACAAATACATGTCATACAGACACGACGAAGCTGTGTCATCATTAATATTTACACAATAAAAGCTCATGATTGTATTAATAATATTTTACAAAAAAGTGAGGTACACACTACTAAAATTTATGTCATCCTGGGGTAGAAATCTCAGTGGTGTCGAGGGGCAACTGCTTCCCCATTTTTTGTCAAATCGCCGATTTTGTCGGAGATTTGAAAACAACTTAATGTACTGAAATACATAGAAATAATGCAAGAGCAGTGAAGAGTGAATAATTCCACTTGGTAATTCATGCATAAACCTTATTATTTTTAATCTATTTTCTTTGTATGTGCTGTTAGTTGCCAGAGAGCTATAACTGCCTCCATCGATTCTAATATTCAGTGAATCGATCTTTGAAAACAGATAATAAAAATGATTTATAAATTTTGTTGATAATAAAAGAATTTTTGAGGTTTATCAAGGAATTCTCAAACCCCCCAAAAATTGTCGAAAAATTTCGACGCTTTGAGCCCCCCTGCCGCCAAAAAATGAATTTCCAAATCCGTTGGGAAAAATCACACTTCACGTGGCGTCTTTTCATCCGCTAATCAACTATTTTCAATGTCAAAAATGTGGAAGAAAACAAACCTTGTTCATCGCCACTCCAGTCTCCTGTACGGGCAATGCGAAGCCGTTCAATTTCGTGGCGAAGACTTTCGTGGTGACTTGAAATGCAAATATCGTTGGAAGATGGAGTGATTGGTGACTCCGAATAGATCTTAGTAAACTCATCACCAGTGATGTTGGTCAAGTCATTATCATCTGGGTTTACATATAATGAGTGGGACTGAGGTTGAGTGGACTCAAAAAGAGACAACTCGTCTTCCTCAAGATTACTATTGACAATTATCATTGCTCTCTACGTTGAAAAAGTTTGAGTGGTTAAGTTAAAAATATAGAAAATGCCAATAAAAATAAAAACTGTTAAATTGCCAATAACTATTAAACCAGCATTATTGTTTGTTAACAATTCTGTTTGTTTAGTTTTCTTAAAAAAATTTAGAAAAATGATTTGCTGAGCATTAAGTTATTTTTTCGTGGATATATATTCTGGGTTTTTTTACGTGCATTGATACCATACTTTGCTATCGCTATCAGGAAAAATATTCCTGTACTTGAATCATAAATTAGACATGTTTCGACATCTTATGATGCCATCTTCAGTACGAGTGAAATAATAAGTGATACAAGGTTTACATAAAAGTAATATTGTACATAAATTACAACAATAAAAAGGAAATTAGATAAATTAATGGGGAGCGTCCAAGCGTATTATAAACTAAATATTGGCACACACTTATAAGCACACACTTGTAGGCACACACTTATAGGCACACACTTTTATAGGCACACATATACGCACACAATGGCACACACTTCACACATTTATAGGCACACACTTTTATAGGCACACACTTATAGGCACACACTTATAGGCACACACTTTTATAGGCACACACTTATAGGCACACACTTATAGGCACACACTTATTTGCACACACCACAGATCTAATAATACACTAGATACTGCCATACAAGTTGAAGCCGGGCAAATTTATTTCCGGAGCCCCAAAGTAGTGAGAATCAATATGACGTTGTATTAGAAAATATGTGGTCCAAGTTAATATCTCGCAATTATTAGCAAATCGCGAAGGTTGCATCAACTTTTTTGCACTATTTATTAAATAAATCATTGTGACTAAAGTTTGTAAGAAAAAAATTGCAGAATACGCCAATACATCGCCGTAAAATTGATTTCAAGTGTAGCTCGATTTGAAAGCATCAGCAGCGACGAAGGCTTAAGTACTGGAATTTGCACATTTAAATATCGTATCACAGCACAATCTGCGATAGTGTGGCTTAGTTCGATTTACACGTTAGAGATATTATGGGGAAAAAGAACTTGATATTTTTTGTATCCAATAATTTCTAGTTAAATAAGGAGGGGCGCCCTATCTGTTGTAACCAAATAAGTTTTATGTTGTCAATAAGTTATTGGAATTGTCAAGGTTAGCCGAGAAGTTCATTAAATATTCAACAATTAACAAATTCAATAAACATTGGGAATAATCAATCATTGTAACTGTACATTAACTTTATTCGTAAGTATGCTTAACATATTGGTCAATGAGCAATGTGTAAATTGGTTATATTCAACGGAATTTTTTATCCCTCTTTTTGTTTCTAAGCACAGTAGATCTGAGATTCATCGTATATATTAATCACATTCTGCTTCTCCTAGCCTTGATAACTTTCTTATGTAATCAACACCTTGGTCCTTTGGGCTTTTAATTCTTGGAAAAAATGTTTTGAAAAAACAATTTCTAAGATGTTGCTGTTTCCGTAGAGCAAGTAATATAATGACTTTAAAAAAGTTATCTATAAAATGGCCATTTTCAGCCGTCTAGAGATCTGAATTTTCAAAGTTTTCTCATGATTTTGCTTCCTCAGATCATTTGCTCATCTAATCATCTAGAGCATATATTTCTTGAACTAAGAATTCCTATTGGAAAAGAAAAAATCATGTATCACAACTTCGTAAAGCATTGTAAACCTTCGTAAGTGAGGGCCTGGGGGATGTTAAAGTAAAATGACACGTGACATCATCAATGACATGCGTGGGCGAATAATGTGTGGTCACAGAATAAGGATTGTAACGTATCTATTCTGTGTTGTGGAATAAATATATCAATATAGCGTCGGCCTTTGGGCTTTATTTTTTTCGCCTCGCTTCGGCTTTGCCAATGGGCCAGTAGCTTTAGAATTTGTACTAGAAATTAGTTTTTTCTAATACGAAGAACTTGCTGTTCTATTATTTTCTTCTCACATTCTAAGTAGCCTTATGTCATTGTCGTGAGTTACATTAAGATCTGACGACGCATTTCACCAAAGTATTTGACTGCTTCGAAATATGGACGAACAACTAACAAGCAATCATCGAAGGCAAACCCAAGCAGATTTTCGTGTACCTTTGACTTCTTCTACAGGTTTGGATGATTCATGAACTTTCTCTAAAATATATTCTTTTGAATATCTTATGTAGTTAAAATATTTTAGCATTTCGATACGATGTGTTGTTTTGAAGTGTCGAACTTGCGTAATGGCGTTGAATTATACGAGCATAGCTCATAGCCGAACCATTTCAAGTTGTTTAGTGTTTGAATCACATCTTCCGCGCTTTGGATGTATTTTATAAGCAAATTTAGTGATATTGAATTATAATGTGAAAAGAAATATAATGTATTTCCGCTTGTAAAAGAAAGCGTCAGCAAGAAATTTCGTTTGCGGTTATCAATATACTGAATATAGTGATGTTGTTCAACATATACTAATCACAATAATGGATGTTTGTTTAGAGTTTTAAGACTTGGTGTAGTTTATGGCTTTATTTTTCGTGGAGTCTTACTGTCTTGTGTTCAAACAGTAGATCCAGGTGGTCCTATTGAAACAATTAGTAAAGGTTTGTCAAATTATTCATCCACTTTACAAACGTCTTTCAAGTAAGTTTTTTTACGTACGTCGTCGTGTACACCATGTGCCATGTGTTTCCGCTTTGGAAGCCAACATCAATATTTTTGAATTTTGATTTGAATGCTATAATTTTAAGTCGTTCGAAAGTAATTTTCTAAATTGGTGAGTGAACTATTGCCGTAAGTTTGAAGCCTAAAATTAAAACTGTAGACGAGACTTGGGCCTGTTTCATACGTCGCATTTTACATGAGCCGAATACATTTAAAAGATAATGAGGAATTTTATCTCAATTTCTTTTGCCTCTAATGCATTTGGTGCATGTAAAATGCGACGTATGAAACAGGCCTTGGTATCTCATAATTCTCAGTTGACAGCACGCTAAAGCTCGAAAGTTTTTAAATCTTGTAAAAGCATGTCTTGTGGTCTTAACTCTTGAGGAAAAGTTTACTTCTTTAGACCGAAATGAAAGTACGTAACACAACATTATTTCTCTTGACTGAGCAAATCTTATAATGAAAAAATGGTGGCCTCTTCTTACGAAGTAATCAAAACTAAACGGTCTAGAAACTATGTTAGTAACGAATAAGTCGTAGAATCAAAATTATTTTTATTAAGAGTTCTTGAAAAGTTTCATGACTTTTTGATAAATTATGACAAAATTTCAAAAGTCTAAGTGTAAGTCAAGTGTAAGTTGCCAAATTCTTTGTAATTTTATTATTCCTGCATTAGTTTTGCAAATTCAGATTCAAATTCCGAACAACTCCGTAGTTCGTACTAAAGCAGCAGAAAGTGAAGCGTTTTCACAAATTATGTGTTTTAAGCTGTGAACAAGCGGTCTATTGGTCTGTATCTAAGATACTGCGTAGCAGGAGAGTCGTGGGGAGCATACCATCACTTCGTCTATTATCAAGCAATGATTTGAGTAAAATTCAGCGTCCTTTCAAATAGTGTATACACTTGTGCTATTGTCCCCCCCCCCTTCTCCACTTGAACGAGCTTTCCTCAGGAAGGAGTGCGTTGTTAGGTCAGTTTCAAACGTCGAAATTTACATCAACCGAATGCATTGAAAATAAAAGTTTTACTGTATGTAAAGTTAAGCTATTTGCAACTTAGGTAGCGCGCTATCTGTCTGAAGTAAATGCAAACACTTGAGTAACAGAGTTTGAATGAATAAGAATAAATCAGTGTAGCTTGTTCCCAATACGACTTTAAACGCAGCAGGATTAAGGGATTGTTCACATGAGCCAAGTAGCCGGGATTCAGCGAAGCGTTAAAGCATTTTGGCAAATGAAAAAGATTAAATACTTCACAATAAAAACCTTATTTGAGCAATTTCTTTGCAAATTTACAAAACCTTTAAAAATCAAAACAAATATTTTAGTCTGATTTGAAAATTGAAACTGGAATGACTTATGACGCTTAAGAAAAGGTTGTAAATTTTGCACTTAAACTTTTTACTCCTTTCACTTCCTCAAAATCATTTCACGCCTCGCTGAATCCCGGTTACTCGGGCTCATGTGAACAGCCCTTAACTAAAAGTTTTTTATGGCTACCTGAAAAAAGAACAAATATACAGGTATAAATTATATCCTGTAGAACCAACGTAATTAATCTTGTCGTAGCATAAAACCACAGTATATAGAACATACATTAGAGCCACTGCATTCAATTTTTTTGTGCCACGCGTATCTCATTGCGCATGTGATTATCATAGTGGCAGCCAGTCAATTGCTTTTTTTACTAATAGTTGCACTGAGCTGGCAAATGACAGCCAGTAATCTAAATATACAACAGCAAGTTGCACAGCAAAGTGGACGTACTGTGTATTCCCTATACTGTGATAAAACAATGGAACATGTCGTGCATCACAGCTTAAATAATCAGTAGCGTTGTGAGATGAGTACTCATTGCTGTCTTATCTCTTGAAGTAATTAGGGGCGTTAAAAACTTCTCTTTTATTAAAAAATACTTTGGAAAGTTTCACTTGATGTTTAAAATGCAAATTATAAAAAAGGAAACTCTGAATCACTATTCATAAGGATTTAGAAGCACATTTGCGCCATAACTGTCATAAATTTTAATATTAGATCGAGCGAGAAAAATTCTTACTCAAGCCAAGTGCATTCGTTCTAAATATAAGTATTTTAATATAATTTTAGTCGTGCTGTACTAGTGTGGTTATTATTAGATATACATCATTTTTTACATGAATTAGATAAGTTTGGGTTAGCCTCTTGGGGCTAACAAATGATTTTACATACGCATGTAAAAAATACGTATGCGAAAAAAATCAAGAAACCATCATATGTAGATTGCATTTTCTTAAAACATTGATATAATCACTATTAGTCACTATATAAAGCATCAAAAAACATAACCTTTGAGGTCATAATATAAGTTATTAAAAAGATATTTTTAAATTTAAATATCATAATTCATGCAATAAACGATTTATTATCATCATAAACTTATAAAACTTGATAAAACTTCAGATTCAATCATGCAATTACTTTTTGGAATGAGCGTTACACAATCAAGCACTAAATGATAACGAATGTTTAGTCTACAAATGTTTGTACGAATGAATGAAGTATATGCATTTAGAAATTCACCACAATCTAAAATTGTTCTTCTAAATCATTTTTCGTCATATCAATGTCATAATTTTACAGTTTTTCACTTTCATGGATTGGGAGGAATGGGTTTATGGCAACACCTTGTTCAAAATCATGCTGTTCCTCACTTTCCTGGATTGGAAGGAGTAGGTTTATGGCAACACCTTGTTCAAAATCATGCTGTTCCTCACTTGCTTTGATTGGAAGGAGTAGGTTTATGGCAACACCTTGTTCAAAATTATGCTGTTCCTCACTTGCTTCGATTGGAAGGAGTAGTTTTTTGGCAACACCTTGTTCAAAATCATGCTGTTCCTCACTTTCTTCGATTGGAAGGAGTGGGTTTATGGCAACACCTTGTTCAAAATTATGCTGTTCCTCACTTGCTTCGATTGGAAGGAGTAGGTTTATGGCAACACCTTGTTCGAAATTATTCTGTTCCTCACTTGCTTTGATTGGAAGGAGTAGGTTTATGGCAACACCTTGTTCAAAATTATTCTGTTCCTCACTTGCTTTGATTGGAAGGAGTAGGTTTATGGCAACACTTTGTTCAAAATGATGCTGTTCCTCACTTGCTTCGATTGGAAGGAGTAGGCTTATGGCAACACCTTGTTAAATTTATACTGTTCCTCACTTTCTTGGATTGGAAGGAGTAGGTTTATGGCAACACCTTGTTCAAAATTATGCTGTTCCTCACTTGCTTCGATTGAAAGGAGTGGGTTTATGGCAACACCTTTTTCAAAGTTTTGCTGTTCCTCACTTGCTTCGATTGGAAGGAGTAGGTTTATGGCAACACCTTGTTCAAAATTATGCTGTTCCTCACTTGCTTCGATTGGAAGGAGTAGGTTTATGGCAACACCTTGTTCAAAATTATGCTGTTCCTCACTTGCTTCGATTGAAAGGAGTAGGTTTATGGCAACACCTTGTTCAAAATTATGCTGTTCCTCACTTGATTCGATTGGAAGGAGTCGGTTTATGACAACACCTTGCTCAAAATTATACTGTTCCTCACTTTCTTCAATTGGAAGGAGTGGGTTTATGGCAACACCTTGTTCGAAATAGGCTGTTCCTCACTTTCTTCAATTGGAAGGAGTAGGCTTATGGCAACACCTTGTTCAAAATTAGGCTGTTCCTGACTTTCTTCAATTGGAAGGAGTGGGTTTATGGCAACACCTTGTTCGAAATTAGGCTGTTCCTGACTTTCTTCAATTGGAAGGAGTGGGTTTCTTGCAACACCTTGTTCAAAATTTTGCTGTTCCTCACTTGCTTCGATTGGAAGGAGTAGGTTTATGGCAACACCTTGCTCAAAATTATGCTGTTCCTCACTTTCTTCAATTGGAAGGAGTGGGTTTATGGCAACATCTTGTTTGAAATTAGGCTGTTCCTCACTTTCTTCAATTGGTAGGAGTGGGTTTATGGCAACACCTTGTTCGAAATTAGGCTGTTCCTCACTTTCTTCAATTGGAAGGAGTGGGTTTATGGCAACACCTTGTTCAAAATTATGCTGTTCCTCACTTTCTTCAATTGGAAGGAGTGAGTTTATTGCAAAACCTTGTTCAAAATCATACAGTTCCTCACTTTCCTGGATTGGGAGGAGTGGGTTTATGGCAACACCTTGTTCAAAATTATGCTGTTCCTCATTTTCCTGGATTGGGAGGAGTGAAATAGCTATGACTGCCTCCATCGATTCTAATATTCAGTAAATCGATCTTTGAAAACAGATGATAAAAATTATTTATGAAATTTTGTTGATAATAAAACAATTTTTGGGGTTTGTCAAGGAATTCTCAAAACCCCTCAAAAATTGTCGAGAAATTTCGACGCTTTGAACCAAGCCCCCCCTTCTGCCTCCAAAAACTGAATTTCCAAATCTGTTGGGGAAACATCACACTTCACGTGGCGTCTTTTCATCCCCTAATGTACTGTTTTCAATGTCAAAAATGTGGACAAAAACAAAATGGGTTCACATATGATGAGTGGAACTGGGGTTGAGTGGACTCAAAAAGAGACAACTCGTCTCTCAAGATTACTATTGTCAATTATCATTGCTCTCTACATTGAAAAAGTTTGAGTGGTTAAGTTAAAAATATAGAAAATGTCAATAAAAATAAAAACTGTTAAATTGCCAATAACTATTAAACCTGCATTATTGTTTGTTAACAGTTTTGTTTGTTTGGTTTTCTTAAGAAATTTAGAAAAATGATTTGCTGATTATTTGATTTGCTGATTTGCTGATTTGCTGATTTGAAGTTATGTTTCCCTGGATATATACTCTGGTTTTTTTACGTACATTGATACCGTACTTTACGATCGCTATCTGGAAAAAATATTCCGGTATTTGAATCATAAATTAATATAGAAAGAGATTACTTCTATTTTATCATTATATACTGTTAAATTCTACCAGTCCTGTTCAAGCGAATGCCACGATGCTGAATCTGTACTGAATACATGATTCATCCGTATCGGATTCGCAAATCGCTATCAGACAATGAATTCAAGTTGATCGAGAAAAAATATTTACACATATCCAATTTCTTCCCAGAAATGATTTCGTCATTTCCCCTCAAACAATTCGCGCTCTTTTCTGACATGCTTTCATAGTTATATGGCGGCAAACAAAAGGTCGACAGTTGAAATGTCAGTGTATTTTGTGTAGAGTGGTTGAACTGCTACCGTAGTGAATCATAATGTTTGATTTAAATTGTGTACATGGAAACAGACCGGGGCAGTGCTCCATCGAAATTTGAGCGAACTCGAAGAATCTGTATGTCCAATGCTACCAGAGGCGATCGTGCAGCGTGGATGACATACACTGGACTAATCTTTCTCTAATCGTTGTACATGGAAACTGCTAATATAATCGTTGTACATTGAAACTGCTAATATAAGGTAAAATATTTGCGATAAAAGCATTGAATGATTGTGGACAGTTGAAAAAGTTGATGGTTACAAAGTTGTCGTGAAATTCTTTATCACTGTAGTGAAATTTGAGCTCCTTATCATGTGACAACTATAATAGAAGGTATGCAGAAATCTTTCAAAATCAGTACATGGTAGTACAATGAAATAAATCACAAATCGGCTGAAGTCCGTTTGGCAGGATACATGTGACATGGATGGATTTACATGCAGGTGAATGGGGTACTACACCCCAAACACTAGATTTCACCCCCTAACTAAATTGTTCGCCCCTCTAATGAACATTTTAATTACCACTCCCCAATTTTTAGTAAAACATATCAGCAGTATGGTTGAGTTTTCAGGGCAAAATTACTACTTTCTACACAACCTTTGATGGCTACACTTCTAGACCACCATAAATTATAGACCCTTACATTGCCTTACATCACTTCCTTACCAGCACCCCCCCAAAAAATTGCTAGCACCACCCCTGTAAAGAATATAAAAATTTGTCCTTAGAGATGTCAAACTTAAATGTATTTTCTTAATAGGTAGCATGGTCTATGTAAGTCTGAAATTAATAGGAGAAAGTAAGCACAGACGAACTCATTATTTTGAGGGGGCTCCCCAACAGCCCCCCGTCTGGTTTAACTGCTCTTTAAATTACATGTTTCACTTGTAAATAAATCTACTTTATTCATATTTTTAGGTGTTTTGAAACATTTTCAGAGAGGTTAGTCAACATTAATGATCATCTCATATCTCAAGTTATTATGCTGCAACTAGGATTTGTAGTTAATGAAAAAATGTTCTAAACAGATATTATTATGGTGCAGAATCTTGAAGCTGTCTATTCTTTGGTGCATTAAAGCAATTATTGTTTGTAATTTTATGCAAATTCAGATGCAAACATAACAATTAGCTTGTGATCATTTGTTCAAATTATTTCTCATTTCAGGACTTAAGTCGAAGTTAAGTGGACCAAAACCAATTAAAACTCACTGACAATTGTAAGCATGGCTTTACTTGGTGAGTGCTCATTGCATATCGCTCAAAAATTATGAAGTGCAAAATTAAGTTACTCAAAATGCTTAAATTCAACCTTTGTGCACTTGACCACCATTTTTGCTCAAGATAACCTTGATTTGAAAATTTTTCTTTTGGTGTGGTTTCTCTTTTAAAATTTGTAGTAGCCACAATCTGCAAGTAAGCAACATGATGTTTGCCTTAAAATGTTACCTTAGAGAGCATTTCATTGCATATCAGCATTTCAATCAAGCTTAAGTTGCCAAGAATATATGCCAGGCTTCTAAACAATTTGATATTATTTATGAAACAATATTTTTCGTCGACACCACCTTGAACATGAGAATGTAGAAATCTTTTATACTAATTTCATCAACTGTAGCACCAACTTTCAAATAAAGAAGCCCTAGTACCTCTGGTCTGTGGCAAACCATGAGGTTTAAAAATGACCATACCTCGCTGGCGTGCGGTTGTACTATTAACGTAGCGACGTATAAATGTACCTTCGTTAGAATGTTAGTGTAATAAATCACCAAAATGCGTTTTCCACGATGAAAATGCGATTGTAACAATGTTTTGAAAATAACAAATCAGCTTATTTACCAACATTCTGTTTATAATCATGTAGCGTTAATTGCAAATTTATTGGTGTGAAATAGAACGTACTTTCATAGAAGTGCGCATTTTGTGTAATTCTGTAGAATTCCGATCTTACCTTCCGAAGAATCCGAACTTTTTGATTTTCTTTCCTAGACTCGGATAATTCTCTTTGTTGAAACGCGTAGGTGGCTGTAGGTATTGTTTGAACGCGAAAATTTCCCGCCGCTCTTTGATTGGGTGATTTCGTTGATACCAATCGTAGATGTAAATATGAGGGCTTTGGTAAATATACCTGTGATTGGTCGATATTAGCTTAAGCCAAAAACATTTGCAACATATCATCCCCCTCCCTTCCCCCCTTACAAAGCAATAGTCTTGGTGCTCATGCCAGCGGAAGTAGTCGTTTCAATACGTGATTTAACATTTTTTCCTTAATCTTGTGTTTTTGTCATCGTTTATGGGGTTGTTTGGTTGTATGAGTTATGAAAAATTATATGTGTGTATGAAATTTATGAAATGAAAGAGAAAAGAAATCGTCAGAATGTGCGCGCGAGCGATGCAATTTTCAAACGTCGCATGCTTCATGATTCCGTAAACACATCGTCATTAATGTCTGTAAAACGTACAGTGGTAAGTAAAGTTTTTTAATGATTTATAATATAGATTTTGAACAAAATTATCTGGCGAGTGCATTTTATTTTATATTTGGTCATAAATGAAACAGTAATTTTGAACATTTTATGAATTATGCTGTAGAATGTTGTCATTGTTATTGAGGTTTAGTTGAGAAGGACCTAAAAGGCAACACATTTGTTTTTTTTATTCATTTTATTTTAAATTTTAATTTATCAACGCTGCATTCGTTTATGTGTTAAATGAGACAACACGTCTTTGAATATAATGGTAGCAAAATATTTAAACAAAAGCAACAACCTCAGTTTGGATTTAATCAAATTAATGCCCAGTACAATTATATTTTTGAAAACTTTGAAATACTTTGAGACTTATTATAAAGTTACCAGTCACACAACATCTCTTACTAATCTTGCATTCTGAAATATCTGTTGGAACATGGCATTTTTTGCTTCTTCACAAAAACACTGTATATGTTGGTTTTATAAATTGTTATATGTATGTATGTATGATCTCAAAAGCACCAGATTAATTATGAATTTGAAATAAACAATAAAATTTTTTATTATAAACATGTTTCAACTTTCCAGTCTACTGAAGTTGACTTAATGTAAGTTGATGTTTACAATAAAAAAGTTGTCGCTTAATTTGTTATTTAAAATGCGTAATTGTTATATGTGTTGGGTTTTTAATTCACCTGACCATTTAGTACATTTTTGAACAATGAAAAATCAAATTTGAATCTTGGAAAAGGTGACCATGTCTACTTAATGTAGGTGTACTGTACAGGAAAGGTCACTTAAATAGTATTTATATTTTGAATTTTTGGGACAATTGCCACACAATTGGCAAAAATAACCACTGTATGAAAAAATGTATGCTCCAAACAGATGTTTTCAAACAAGTCACTTTCTTACATAATTCATTCATATTTAAATTGTTATACATCAAGATTGTTCAGTTGTAGGGAAAAGTGTTTCAGTTCCTAAGTCCCTGACATAAAACAACTATATTACAATAAACCAAGCACCCACAAAGTAATAAAAAAATTACATTTAAGACAATTCATTTAAGAAAGACTGCCAAAAATAAATCCAGTGCCACATCTTCCTCTATGGTATGTCAAAACTACACATTATTATTCCCAATTGCTAATTATTGCTCTAACTAGTAAATCAAATGAATACAATATTTGTCACATTATCACTGTCTTGAGAAATTACATTTTTATTGTCTTTCACATGTATAAATATTCTGCTTTAGTACATGTTTCTCTTGCTAGAAACTCTTTAAGAAGAAATTTCTTTACTCAAGAATTTTAAAATGAAACAAATAAACTAAAGACTGCTGAATCTTATGGCAAAGACAGTAAATATTCTGAAGATGGTATGTAAAAATAACAAATTTGTAAGAAATTTATAATGTACAAACTTACGAGTGGCGAACGTTTGACATTTTCTAAAGAAATGAGTTCTACAGAACTTGCAGAACTCGTTATAAATGTAAAATATGGGCTGGCCCTATATCAAAATTTTGTGTTACTAGGCATAGTAAGAATGTGAGAAAGTTTCATACTTGTATCATTAAAGTGAAGAATTTTGTCATTAACAGCTGGACTATAACGTTTGATATTTTCTAAAGAAATGAGTTCTACAAAATCAGCATAGCCTGTTGATAGATGTCTCGAAAGCAGACTGGGATTTTTTCTCTCTAGAACAGAGCATGTGCTCAATACTGCCAACAATTACAAGAGATACTATCTAGCTATGTACAAGCTTAAACCGTTAGCTACTTATATATGACCAACAGTGAGATATTAGTTATCGTGCTAATTTCACGTTTTTTGCAAAGTTTTCATGTAGCTAATATTTTTCATTGTATATTTAGCACACCTATCTAAAATTCACAGACAACGTATGTAGTTCTGGGTATGTGGTTATTGAGCAAAAACATGTTAAGATCACAACTTACGTTCATTCGTATGCAATATAAATTTCTTCATGTCATGGTGTACGTTGAACTTTCATCTTTGAAAAATGTTGCTTAAAAAAGAGTGTCGCTATTTGTTGGCAACGTTAAAATTTAACTATTACGAATTTGCAATAAAAGTAAAATAATCTCTACCGAAGTCTTATGCTGTATATTGTGGAATAATTCTTGTGAAACCAAAAATTCTTTTATCAATTTGACTAATTTTCGTCAATTATTGAAAGAAATTAGGTTCCACAAGATCGAAATATCTTCGAGTCTTCGACAGAAGATAAAAAACATTTAATAAACATTCGCTCCTAGAAATGTTGGGACATAACACTTCCCAAATTTGAATTTATTGTTACATGTTTCGTTGTACTAATCACTGCAAAGTTTGATGAATTTTTGATATTCGTTTTTTAAGTGGTAATAGTTGATATATGTCATTCTACAATTGTTTTGATGTGAAATGAACAAACGCGCGCTATGCATGATGGTTGTTGGCAAATTCTATTTCAAAAATGAAAAGAGTTTATCTGTTGAAATTCAATTTTATTCTTATGGTGTCGACAGCAGTAGACTGCATTTTATTCTATCGCTTAGAGTCATCAGTCAACATATTTATTTGAGAAATGACAAAAGGCTACTCTCCTTAACGGCTTTCACTTTTATTATGCACCACGTCTGGGTCCGCAAAGAATGATGGGGATTTGTTACGACATAATGACGCATTTGCACATGTGATATTGTATAGTTCCCAATCTCTTACTTCGTCATGATCATTCTCGTTGAACAGAAATTATGCTCGTTATTGACTTTAATGCATGGCTATAAGCACGGTACTTATTACGTAGTTGCAACTCTAGATGATTTGTAGTCGATGTTTATTGAAATTAAATAATATTTTGAAGTCAAAATTGACCAATTAATCTAGTTTGACGTTTTTTTCTTTATACAGTGAATCATGAGCGCCGAGGACGACGTTGATAACGTTGATCAACAAGAATTAGACAGTGTTTTATGTACTAACAAGGTAACATGTTTGAAATATTAAAGAAATTTTATTGAATTATCAACATAGAGATTAGAGTCCAACAGATGGTTTCAAAGATAACCATAAGCGTTCGATTTCTTTGATATTTATTAAAACAATGCAAGTGACGTTTGTCGTTTTGTCTCGACTCAAGACATCTTCAAATGAGATGTAATTACTTAGATAGTTAAGGTGTGAGGTTTGTGTGGATGTGTACTTACAGTGTAAAGCTGATATTGAGTATTGTAAGGAATTGTAAGAAAGATTGTACAAGATATAAGGGGGGATGAGTAATGGGGGGAAATATACCATGAAAAGAGCAAGGACGGAGGGGGACGTGCATTCTCACCCACCCAACTATTCGAAATACCAATTTAAGAGTTTTTAAGATCTGAAGAGAAAAAAGGGAGTTATAGATAGTTGCTTCCTGTAAAAGGGCACACAGCAAAGTAAAAGTAATAAACCGAAACTTTTGAGCATCGTAGTAAGTCTATGTAATTAGTCTGAGATGTCTTGAGTCAAGACGAAACGTCGCTTGCTTTTTTAAATAAATACTGAAAAAATCAAATGCTGATGGCTTTCTCAAACACGATCTTTTGGGATCTTATCTTTATATTTAGAATTTAATTCACACCTGGCACCTCAATGGGAATATTTAAAATTTTATAAATTCTTATTAATTGTTGTCCACTCATATTTACGATGTGTTTGTATATATTTCTCAAACTCGTCCATTTTAATAGTTGAATTATTATTTGCGATTTTTTATACATGTGAGTCCAATTTTGTGGTAATCAAAAAGCGGAAAGTTAAAGAAAACATTCGTTTTCTTTGAACAACTTGACCGTCGTTTGAGCGATGTTCTTGAGTTCGCAAATGTGCGGAACTCATAAGCCAAGTCAAACGAACTAAACCCTAAACTAGCCGAGTAGCCGTGAGCAGTCATAGCCGAAATGGTAAAAAATGCGCGTTGTGCAGTTGGATATTGCGATAATGATAAACGCTCTCCTGATTATCAAGTTAAGAGGTCTCACGTAGAAAAGTTAGTTTTTCATAAGTGGCCCAAAGATCAAGCACTTGCTGAAATTTGGCGAAAACAAATTGCAAACAGCAGAGCCGATGACTTTAACCCAAAGCCTGGTGCACAAGGTACTTTCGTTTGCTCAAATTATTTTCCCTTAGGAAGAAGAACCCCAAAGAACTGCGGAACGGATTATCCTTCGGTTTTTATTACGCTATCAGAGTACGAGCAATCGAGGACTCCGCTTAAACGTAAAGGAGGAGAAACATGGACGATATCAAAGCGTCCTCATCAATCCTATGACACCGAGGATTCTGATTCAAGTTTTGATGGAAATCCAGCAAAATCTGAGGCATCTTTACTCCCTGCCCCTTTGGAATTTGAACAGTTGACGAGAGAGTATGATGTAAGGTTTCAC